ACACTGCTATATAGATTAGGATACAGTATAGTTAAAATACTGGTTCAGCTAATGCATTGTATGGCCTATAATGACATTTATTTTGTTAGCTAAGACGCATTTTTCTTTGTACAGTACCTGAATATGTCTTTGTTTAAAATATCTGCGACACCGAAGAAAAGGTTACTGCATCCTGATAGGTGACACAGACTGCATGGCATGTTGTAAATGTTGGTTTTCTCTTTAATTGGAAGCTGTCATTATCGTACAGTAGCTTTCTTAAATCTGTGTTTCCAGTGATAGAAGAGTGCTAAGGTGAGTGAGGCATTATTATAAAGAAAAAAGAACTGTAAAAAGGAAACAAAATAGTGTTAATGACATGCTGAAAGTCTGTGATGACTTCTACTACAGGGCATGGTGAGAGTTAGACATTTCCATACAAACACACTCTGCCCTCACCTAATGTTGCAGTACATTCTCATTGGAGGCCTGTAAGTGATAATTGAAAAGCACCAGTAATCTTCAAAGCATTTTACAAAGGAAAGTAAAAAAGGAATTCAAGTCAAACTGTGCCTTGCAGACTTGACGATACTATTTTTATAGTTGTCAGCTGTGTTTCATGTAAGGAGCATTATTACAAAAAAAAGATGTCAGACGCAAGATAAGGGCAAGATTCCACATACGCTATTGATTTAAATGTAATGTAACTTTCTCTCTTTAAAAGATGTGCAGCCTGAAAATGATTTTACTGTACGGCTGTGAGGTGCCTCTTTGTCTTCAAGAGCCTTTTGTTGTAATACGAACCGATTTATTCCAAAGAGAACTATTCAGAAAATATGACATTTTCTCTAAAGATATGTTGGTTTCTGTCTGTAATATTGTGCCATCTTAACCTTTCCTGTAGAACTTTTCTGGGAAGAAAGCAAGCCAAGGTCAGGACGTCAAAGGTTCCTGTTCCTGTCCGTCCACACTATTGCCAGCAGCCTTAGCACAGGCTGTCCTGTTTGTACTTTTATCAGATCATTATTGACTTGTACTTTGCTCTAGACATCTTTTGTTATGGCCATGATCAACAAAATGGAAAATCGGATACTTTAAATGCGAGGTGTTTGTTTCCGTTACAATGTTATGATGTGGTATAGGAGAAATGTCGGTTACATAGTAAAGACATACACATTGAGCTGCTTAATATTCAGATTCGCACACCACACTTTGCTTGATCTTAAAAAACACCTCAGCCAAGCTGGATTAGTCTGCCATAGCCTGGAATACACTCTACAGATTAAAAGATAGCGTTGCCATTGTGTTGCAGTATAGCAGTATAGAGGTGATTTTTTAGCATCTTGTTTTTCCCCATTATTAAACTGTGCATTTATAAACATTCTGGCAGAAGTCACAAGATGTGAGTCTTCTTTTGTGGGAGAGCATGAATTAACTGGAGAGTTACGTCAGCAGCTGGGAGTCATGTTAAATATTTCAGTAGTTCAAATAAACTCTTATTAAAGGCAAAGAAGTCATGCAATTCATTTAGTGAGCTTTATTGGGGTAACTCATCTGATGGAGGAGAAGGAAAACCAGTTTATAAAGAAATCCCAAAGAAGTTTTCTCTATATTGAAGGGAACTCAGACATCCCCCAAAAAAAAGTCAAGGTTAAAATGAGACCATGGTCAATTTCCACCTGGAATGATGTCCCCTTAAATAATATATAAATAATATATGTAATATCTCTGGAAATGTATACAGTAGAAGCCTGGTTTGTGGATTACATTAAAGCTAAAGAAGCTCTGACAGGGGGAGCCTCAATGAGAGAAAATCATCCAAGAACAGAAGGATGGAGACAAACTTGTAAATGAAGAAAGATCCAGAAGCAGGCTACTGTAAATCTCAAAAACGTTTTGAGGAGTGTAGCAGTTGAAAGTAAGGCAGACTGTGTGAAATACGTATCTGACCAACATACCCTACAGTAAGTGCCTGAGGTAAAGGGTTCAAAAGGCATAAACTTAAGTTGTTGTGAGCTGTTTTGTGTTGTGTTGTGAGAGTTTCACTGCTTTGACTAGCAGCTAAAGTGGTCAATGACTAGATTGCAGAAGGTAAGAAGGAACGTTTCAGTCTTGTGAGTTGTGAAGAGAGAGAGAGATGACAAAGCACATTTAACCAGAATACATGTGGATGACTATACTTAGAGGGACTGATCCCAATGGGCGGAATGGGGAAGGGGGGAAGGGAGAGCAGGTGAGTGGCTCCAGTGGAAACAGGGAAAGAGGCGCACGTGTTTCCATAGATGCGAAGGCCTGAGCTGAAGGCAGGGGTACAGATCTGGAGCCGGGAAGAGGAGCCGCCAAAGGAAAGCAGGAATCCGAGGCACCTGGGAAGTGGGACTGAGCCTTGCCAGGACTGCAAGTGGAACAATCTGGGGGATAGAGTCGAGAGCGGAGAGGTGGAAAGAGAATCTGCTGCCTGGCCACAGCTGAACGAAGGCGGCAAGGGCGTTGGACGCAGACAATCGAGAAGAAATACTTCAAAATAATTTACACAAAGAGCAAAATAGGTTTTCATTTCAGTCTTTGGGAATTTAAGATATGCTCAGGTTTAGAAATGGCGAAAGGGCAGATTCTTACATTAAGCATAACATGCATCCAGGATTTGTATCATAAAACTTGTATCATAATACTTACAATTCCATAATATTTCCTTACACCCAGTCTCGGAAGAAGCAGTGACTTTCTTTTTGCAACCACAGGAATGTCAGCCCCTTTCAGAGCATTTAAAATGTTGATGCTAAGGTCACCAAACTTTTATAGACATGTGGCTTTTGTTGTACTGTATTTTTATTTTTTTAGGTTTTGGGGTCAGAGAGGATTCTCGGGTTACACTGAGGGTGAGACATGGGGGTGTTCTTTTCTGCTGGAACTGTAGGCTTCCAGTTTTGGTTTTTGCCACAGAAGCTGCATTTGGTTAAGTTCCCAAAGAATTCTGGACAAGCTGAGGGGTAACTGTGGACAGACTGATAGCTTTCTTCAACCTCAGTAGCATATTATTTCATTTCTTAAATACCTCACTGGTCTAGCACTTAAAAGGCCTCTCTGGCAAGTGTGACAGTGTATGAAAGAAACTGGAATGCAATGTTGTCCATCCACTATATTTATTTTCAGAAATTAGAATCTGAATTTTCAATGTTTGAAAGCAACTACAGTATGTCTTCTCCTTGGCAGGAAAAGAGGTGCCTTTTTTAAAATGAAAGCAGAGAGATGACTCCGTGGGATGACTGGCTCAATATAGTACATAGTTCCACCTTAGTTGGCAAACTATACATTTAAAAGCCTCATCAGACTAAAGGGCCACAAGCCATTAGTGCTCTGCACAACAATTCATGGTTCTCTTCGTCAGCAAATACTCAGCATTTCGTTACATGAAAAGCAAATACCATTCCAAGATGTTTAAGAATAGTCAGAGCACTTTTGGAACCTAAGTAATGTTAAGTAGCACTGAGGTATTTTAGTAAACATATTGATTATATGAAAAAAATATTTTTAGGTCAGCATTGCAAAATGGAATGCTTACTGTATGTAGTATCTGCAGTTCTGAAGAATGGGGAAACCAAGTATTATGTAACTCCACCTGGAGTAGATTTCCTGTTGATTATTCCAACCAGCATTTGTAGAACCCAAAGGAGAGGACTCATGGTGATCTAAATCTAACATATGCACTGGAGTGTGGAATATTGTGAGACATAACACAGACCCGGCTGAAGGCCACAAACACAGTTGTAAGGATGTGGAAGACTGGGTGGAAAGTGAGATGCTTGTAATTTTCTCTAATTTTTGAAGTATCTTCTGTCCTTTAATAACACTTTTGGAGAGCTCACATGTGGCAGGTCCTGAACTGCCTCCCAAGGCTTGAATTTGGGGTCCCAGGGTGAAATCCGTTTGAGTGAAGGGTGGAGAAGTAGGGATATTCCTAATTGCTGTCAAACTATAGGATTTCCAGTTTACACTGTGGAAAACACTGGTGCGGTTCAAAAGGTTTCGATGGAAAGTGTTATAAGCTTTTGCAAGGTACAGTATGTGTAAAGCAGGTTTTATGCAGTGTCATTCTGTGCTTCAACTAAACCATTAGATGAGGATTGTACAGGATTCTTTATGCAATCTTAGACATACTGTACACTGCAGGACCGAAGTCTTAGACATTTTGCATTATTCTGCTCTTTTAACCTAATGCTTTTCCTCCTTTATGAAAGAAAGTTGTGACCTTCTTTCAATGTTCAATTCATTTTGCTTTAAACTAACAGTTAATCCTGCTAGATCAGTATTTTGTAGCCTGTTGGCTTTATTGATGTGATGTGATGAAAACGATATAGAACACACGGTTATGAGTCAATTAGATGTTGATATTTAATGTGATGAATCAGCTACTTCAGCACTTCAAAGTAGTGCTGCTTTTCACATCTGCTTGTGTGTATTTCACTATGAGACGTTGTGATCAGGTTTTTGAACATATTGATCTATGTGAATTAAAGACCTATGAGCTAAAAGCTGGATTTTTTCTAACTTATATAACAGTCAAAACTGATAGAATAATATAAAAGTACATACATTTAATAAGTTGTCAATATTCATAATATTTAACTTCCTGATTGTGTCTACAATGTCTAACAGTTTTACAGAGTAATGTATAATCTGAATCCCTGTTATTCACTAATCATAGCATTTCTTATTAATTAATGAGCTAAAAGCTGGATTTTTTCTAACTTATATAACAGTCAAAACTGATAGAATAATATAAAAGTACATACATTTAATAAGTTGTCAATATTCATAATATTTAACTTCCTGATTGTGTCTACAATGTCTAACAGTTTTACAGAGTAATGTATAATCTGAATCCCTGTTATTCACTAATCATAGCATTTCTTATTAATTAATGAAATTATTATATTATTTATGCATGCATAGTATATATGTACACATATACATACAGTATATAATTGAATTAAATCTTTGTATTCTCTCCTTGGTTTCAGCACTTCCAGACAATGCTGAAGACCAAGCTCAATGTTCTAACACTGAAGAAGGAGCCACTGCCTACAGTTATATTCCATGAACCAGAAGCCATTGAACTCTGTTCTACCACACCCTTAATGAAGAACCGGACCCACACTGGCTACAAGGTAGTGAGCAACACCACGCAACATCAGCACCTTCACTCACTTATTTTGTGTTTGAGAGGATGCGGACTGTTGCATTTATAAGCAGAATTTAAATTAAAACCAAAGGACACTAGAATTCTGTACAAAATGTCAATTTTGTCTGTTTTTCCACTTATTTCTAATATTTTTTTTGACTGATTGCTGAGTGGTATGGGTAATTAAGCTACATCATAGGCTGCACAGAATACAGATGCTGTTTTCCATCCATATAATATATCCTTAAGTGCACAAAAAGGCCTATCCTGTTCCTGCATGCGCATGAAGTGCACAGGTTTTAATGCCAAGCTCAGCTCATAAGATACAGCAGTAAGTTACTTATATGGACCAAACAGTTCTCCCAGCTCCTCAGGTGCTGGTTCTGTAAAGAGACCTGAAAACCTGCAGACATACCTGCCCTCCAGTACTGGGACTGGACAGTCCTGTCCTTTATAAGTCCGTTTATATCTCTAAGATACAAATAAGTAACTTATACTCTCCTGTTTTTGACACAGCAGACTACGCTTTGTACTTTTCTTGGTTTCATGCTTTGTCCAACGATGTGTTTTTGTTCAGGCACAGCTCAAGAATTAAAATTTGATGTTTTGTTATTTGTGCTGCTGGATTTTTAGCTGCTCTCCAAACAAATCAGTGGGCCCTCCTGTCATTATTTCCTGCACATCCTGTCATGTGCACTGCTGAAGAAGATTCATAATGATAACGAAGTCCTGTCAGATCACAGTCTGTCACGGTTGCTTCTTTAAGACACTTGTGAAGCCCATGAGTACACTCCCCATCAGACTTCTGACTGCCTTGCAGCAGACAGTAATATTTGCTCCAAGTCTTCGTCTAGTCAAACTTAATTACTCCTTAGTCTTGGACGCCTAAGTGAAAGAGACAGATAAAGGTGCCTCCTAAGGCCGTGTAGAAGGAAAAGAAAATCACAAATGCTTCTAAATCTGTTTCAAAATGACTTCATATAAAACGGCTGCATTCTGCAAGTGCTTACATTACAGAGTCAAAATTTCCCTTCACTGCATTTTGCCAAGCACATGTTTCTGAAACTTCATGGTGACAGTTGTGATCAGGAGGACTAAAAGTACAGTACATTTAAGAACTCCATTTAGTATCATACTGTATGTTATGTGTTGCCAATTAGACAGGGAGAGCACATTGTATGCTGTCTTATTTTCTGTTCATCTTCAACATGCTTGTCAAAATCTTAGCTGCCACTATTCTGTTCAGCAGTTAACATCACGTTAGCTTAGCTCAAATGGTGCCTGTTAACCTTTCCTTCAAAGCTAGTCTTAATTACTGCAAGTAACCTTTACAAAACAGCTTCTTGCATTGACTGGTTTCATGTGTAACAGGTTTATTGGACGAGCCTGATGCGGTCTCTCATTATCATTGCTTTTGATAACGGTGAGACATCACTCTTATCACTCTTAGCACCCCTCTTTTCTCCAGTCCTGTGTTTCCTGTGATAAGGGCATCAGATAATTAATACAGCTAAAATGACTCATTTATGACAGCGCAGAATAACGTAGTGGGTAAGCCTTTGGACTCATTGTGGACTCACCAATGACAGGTTGTGGGTTCAAGTCCCTGCTGCAGAGCCACTGCTGTACACCTGAGTGAGGTACTTTACCCCCTAGTTTCTCCAGCAGTATAAGTGGGGACCAGCCTTGCTGGGGTGGGGTCAGTCTTTCGAAGAGCCAGTGTCCTATCCAGGGGTGGAGCCACATGCTCTATAGTCCACTTTACACTACAGAAACCAGGATGAGCTCTGGCTCTGGTATGGACCTTATCTTTTTGCTTTGGTATGTTGGTGTGGTAGACATTAGTATTGACACTCAGCTGTTCAATAATTAAACTGTATGAGTATGCCTTTGTCATTGTTGCCTCTTCTGAGCTTAAGAAACACATATTGATCCTAGCAATTTAAGATATAGGGCTCGGTTATGTTTAGCTTTGCACATATACTGTAGCATTTGACCTTATGGTCTATACTTTCTTAGCTTGCAATTTTTGTGGATGGATTCATTAAACAATATTGTTGACAAATATGTAAATATGTTTTTTGGCATGTTTAATTTACTTAATAAATTAGTAGATAATCTTGGTTCATTTACAGTGTGACATTTCATGTGTCTGGATCAGTATAAGTATCAGTATGTGTACAGTATGTATAAACTGTATTTTATAACATTGTTAATTTACATTTATCTGCATCTCTTGTGTTCCAGTAAACCCTTGATTGTTCTACCAGTTTTATCATTTCAGTTGATTATGAGCCTCTATGCTGTAGCAGGTATAGAATATGTCTGTAGAAAGTTCAGTTATTTCAAGGCAGTGGTAAAATCCAGTCTGTGTTTCCATGGTTACTGCTACATCCATTTATACAAGAAAACCCATTGGGAAGGCTGTTTTTTTTTTCCCAAAGCATTTTCAATGGCTTTTATTTTAAGGGGGAGGGGCTGATTTAAAGAAATGTAGAACATGGCTTTAGGGCTGTATTTAACAGCTAAATGATAAGAAATTGTGACACTTGTATGTTTTTGCTTGTAAAAACAATAAGGGTTTGATTCTGCCTGACTACTGATCTATTTAGCTCATTGTGCTTTCTCTACATTGGTGGAGAGATGTTAAATATTTCCAGACTCCTAATATTTATTTTGACTGCAAAAAGATGGAAAGAAATGGTTAATACTTTTTTGTACTATTTCCTTCGGTCGTCTCTGCCAAAACAAATGAGACCGATGAAAAGGCAGCTTAGACTGCACACTTTTAAATCTAAAACACTGGTTTAAAGCAGTTTTGTGGTCTAGGGAGCACTCCTTGTGTGCCCAAATTAAGAGACTTTTAGAATCTGAATTAGGCTTGTCTGGATTAGCCACAATACTGCAATACTGTTTTCTGTGGAGCACCTTTTCTAATTACTGACACATTTGCTTGTTTTGATATTATCCAGGAAAATCAATGTAAACATTTAGATATAAATACAGTGCTTTGAAAAGGCACTGTGCAGGAAAAATCTAAAGAAAAATACAATACAACATGTAAAACAAAAAATACAATTTCTGTAAATAAGATGGTTTTAATTGCTTAACTTTAACTGTGTTACTGATACTTATTCATCCTCTTTTCATTGGGACCTTAATTTCAAATTAGCCACTTCACAATCAGTTTCAGCTCAACAGTAAAACAAAGACGTAACCCTTGCTAGCTTTCCATAAAAAGATCAGAAAGAATATAAGAATAGAAGAGCATGGTTTTTAGACAATATCTTTTAATCAAGCAGTATGGTGTATCTTTACATAGCGTGTGGTCCCCAGAGAAGTTGTGTGCTCTTCCAGTATTCCTCGCGGTGGAGAAGGCGCGATGGCACCAAAGTGAATGCAAGCAGATGGCCGTCCATCTCTAATCAGGCTGCTCCCATCTGAAAGACATTGCTGATTATGCAATGACTGAACTGTGCAGTGCTTAGTGTTGTTGCCATGGTTACCACAGTGAAGAGAGCTGGGTAGGGTAGGGCTGACGACTACAGTCATGGGAATAGAACACCTATTTGTTTCTTCAACTCTCCTGTTAACTGGGGAATCGTGCACCTCGTAAGAGACTCTTGTTCATTTTGTGGGAGGAACTTGGAGGGAAAGAGCAGGTGATTTGTGGTCATTTCCCCAAATAAAATATTACTTCAGTTTTGAGAAACACGCTACTTCTGGGAAGTCATAGGAAAAGGGAGCATGCTTCATTTTTTTTCATTGAAATTAATAACTCTTCCACACCATTATGCAACCATTTAATGTGCTATGCTTGACAGAACATGGTACAAAAATAATAATTAAGCTGTTAAAGTTAAAAAATCTGTCTTGAGAATACATTGGGCATAGGGCTGCTCTTTAGAAAAACAGCCCAGTGTCCTGAAGGAATTCTGTCAGCTTGTGTTTTTTCTAAATTTTCTGTTTAGACACATCACTCTGTCTTTGAAACATGGGTGATTTATCCTTTTCTGTTTTTATATGTGCGTGCAGTTAATCCATAACTTCAAAAGGCCAGACAGAACTTGGCAAAACAGATGGTATGGCAAATGCATGGACTTATATGGACTTCAAGATGTTTCTTGTTAAGTGCAGATTCAGCAAAGACATATTAATCATATTGACTGCCCAGGTCACAGAAAGGTTTTTTTTTCTCTATGAAGAATAAGTAGGTTTGTTATATAAACCGCAATCCTTGTTAAAGTCATTTAGTCTGTCACTCTTATTTTTTGATCCTGCGCAACAAAAGAATTTACACGTATCGAAGTGAAGAAAAAGTACAGACATTTTTACTAACATTTGCTAAATTATTCCAGATAGATACCCCTTACTTTATATACTGTAAATATGTGAAGTCTAAACAATAGTAACTGAGGGAATGCTTAGTGACAAAATGTCTTGCACATACAGTACAATATGCTCTGGAAACTGAGTGTGTCTAGCTATAAAAAAGGAAAGATAAAATTGTGAGAACAAAAGTACAAGTATTTGCTAAGTCTCTAAATATTTTCTTAGCGTTATGATGACCGTGAAATGTGCATTGAGTTATAGAAAGAAGAGGAATTATGTGTAAAAGTGCCTTATGTGCAATAAAGCCTTACCTGTCAAGTCTAATATCTGAAAACCCGTTCTTAACAGACTGTGACGGGATTGCATTACCATTTCCGTGGCCCTGTAGCACAGAAGCATTTTTGATGTATACTGTATGTATCTGGACTGTTTGTTAAAAAAAAAGGCTTCATTATAGCATCCATTTGGAGATAAGAGGATGGAATGGGCATCTGAAACAGATAATGAAGAGAAAAGAAAAGAAATAAACTTGAAATATACGGTAGTAATAATAATACCAATAGAAAGAATGAAACAACAAAGGTTTCTGCATTGCTTGGCTGCCCGAGAGAGAAAAAGCAAAGTCTAGAAGAAAAAAAGCCGTTGATGACAGGA